GGATTCGAGGTAGCGCGTTAGTTGGGACGCGAACTTACTGACCAGAAGGTCCGTTGTTCGAACCCGGTCTAGGCATCTCGTCTTCTCCTGTTTAGGCTTGACCAACTCATACTGTCTCATCCCTCATGCTGAACTATATNCGGGATTAAGCTGAAACAGCCGTTATAACCAAACTAGTTTACAAATAAGTATATTTCCCTTCACTTCTGGCATAGTCGATAAGGGTGACTGTATAAGGTGAGCTCCTTATTCACTCCTTTTAATGCAGCCTGGTTTGCCCTACTATGTAATCTGACGAAGTTAACAAATTTAAAATGTCTTTAGGGTAAAGCGTCGATATTGTGGTTGTTTCCGTGCTAGAAGATAGCCACTTGTCTGTCGTTTATATCTATCATGTGTCTCTCATGTTCATGCGTGCCAGATTTGCTACATCTCCCATCGAAAAATCCCTTTCCCACAGTCCACTCACTCTGATCCGAGTTCCATCAACCCGGAAACGGTCACACACACTCTGGCTATCTTAGACTATCTGGTTCCGTTCCTGCATGCCTGGATTTTGATCACAATTGTGGAACCAACCCGATCCGACCAAACTTACTGGGATGCAGCAATATCCTGGTCGGTTTCACACTCACTTGACGAAGCCAACTTGGACGGTATTTCTTTGTGCAAATTTTTGGAAGGTTTGTCCAATCGTCTTTGGTTTTATTCCTTCAACTTTAAAGCAAAAACCAGGAAAAATCAGTCCTGGTGCCATTGTTGCGGTCTTAGTTGACCGAGTAGGTGCCATCCGCCTTATAGATACCAATATCTTTTCATTCAACTTCATCAGGCCAGTCTTTTTATAGTGGAGTAAAAATGGCCAAGCTAGGTCACAATCCCTAAATCGGATAGGGTTCCAATGTCTTTTCATTTTTTAAGGTTAATCGGAGGTGTCTTTTGCCCCAGAATGCATTAAACATGAAAACTTGGGAGAACCTGACGATGTCTAAAAGCTTGCCACCAAATCCCCACTTCATTTAACTTGCACGCCTAATCTAATGTGACCGCAGACGGGTATCGTGTGCACTCATAAGGAGCCATGTTGAAACCCGATAGATTCATTCAGCATAAATAAAAAATGCTAACGTTCGCAGAACTGGAACTCAAGCGTGAACTTATTCACCTGTTTAAATGTGAAAGTTCAGTTGCATCCAAGGCACACTGGTGGAGTAGTGTTAACGCGCTCATCTCTCATGTCCGGAGTTCAAACTCCATCACGTTTAAGGATATGCATTGTAATAAGAACGAAGCTCGAATCCACTGCTCCTCCCCTTTTTCGTGTATACTCACCAGAATAATTGTTCGGGAACATGGGAACTGTTATATCTGCTGATTCGTCAATCTTTGGTATCTGCTGCTGACCTACTCCAGTGCTTAGTTACCGGAAAAAAAACTCACAGAAGGGAACACAACAGTTATATTCCGAACAAGCGAGTGCGACGGCAAAAGTTACAACGGCCCCACGCTACTTAAAGGGGACTTTCTGTCATTGATCCAGGCTGTCTGATAGGCGTTAGTTAACACCCATCAACATCGATCATGCCTCTATGAAATGCCTGAACGCAGATCCCATTCGGTTGTGCTTCTCTGGCGTGCATGAACACTCATCAGCTTTTGCTGAATTGATTGAGTGATTGACTGGCCTGGATACTTGCCGGCTTTCATGTTGAGGTTTTGGTGGAGCAGTAGGTTTCCGGGCGTTCTAGGTTACATTCAGGAATCTGACCTTCCTGATAAGGACAAATGTTCGAACGAGGGTGATGTCAACGTGAACGCTGTAATCATCGTGAGTATCATCAAAGACAGCAGCATCATTGTTGACACTGATGCCTCACTGATATACAACCACAAAGTTAATTATGCCTAAAGCGTGCCTAAAGAGTGAAAAACAGAGAAAAAGAGTGGATGAGGGAGGGAACCTGATGCTGGTCTATATCGATGGCCCTCAATCAGACAATCTGAAGAGAAGCTGACAGCCGGAACTCCACTGACGCCGATCAGCCACCATTTCCTCAGCCAAGCGCAGGAAGAGTCACAGGGACCCTATCACCCGAATTCTTCGTAGCCCCTTTCGCCCCCTTCTAAATCAAACGTTATCGACCTCGCGGTTTGCGTTATTCTGATGTAGGCACAGAGAACAACAGAACAACTTTGTTTCGGTATGCCTAGCACATGGCCGGGTCACCGTAGTTGATGTCGCTGGATATTTTCCGCGATTAAAGTATTTGCTGTACAATCGAGTACCCATTTTCTAATTGCTTCGTTACGAATTCGTTAACGTCATCCGACACCAGCAACGTTTCCGAAGCATCGTTTAGCAAAGACCTTAAGAGGCCTCATATCATGTCCTCATAGTTCACGTCTCGTAACTACAGCCCTTACTGTAGCCTGATACACGCAACCCTTCAGACCTGTGATATGCCTCTTTACTCCACAATGACACAGTTTAGCAGACGTCATTCAGGCCCTTGAAACACATGCACAGACTTCGCCAAACAGTTCCGTCAGAGCAACTAGCGAAGAATTAAAAAAAATTCTCAGCCTCCAGTGCTTCTCCTTGGATGGCAAGAGACATGTCTAGAGGTCTAAACTGGAAACCTATCTTGGTTTCACACTTATTCAAGTATGAAACACAAGGTAGGTGTTCCAGCTCTACACTGACAGCTATTTGGTTCTCACTCGAGCCGTAAAGTCTGAGCTCGTTTGCTAAGATAATCTGTGACATTGGTAATTGACTACTGATCTCTTCGCTGAGCTTCATAATTGATTTGCACTAAAGCGTGCTAAAGAGTGAAAAACAGAGAAAAAGAGTGGATGAGGGAGGGAACCTGATGCTGGTCTATATCGATGGCCCTCAATCAGACAATCTGAAGAGAAGCTGACAGCCGGAACTCCACTGACGCCGATCAGCCACCATTTCCTCAGCCAAGCGCAGGAAGAGTCACAGGGACCCTATCACCCGAATTCTTCGTAGCCCCTTTCGCCCCCTTCTAAATCAAACGTTATCGACCTCGCGGTTTGCGTTATTCTGATGTAGGCACAGAGAACAACAGAACAACTTTGTTTCGGTATGCCTAGCACATGGCCGGGTCACCGTAGTTGATGTCGCTGGATATTTTCCGCGATTAAAGTATTTGCTGTACAATCGAGTACCCATTTTCTAATTGCTTCGTTACGAATTCGTTAACGTCATCCGACACCAGCAACGTTTCCGAAGCATCGTTTAGCAAAGACCTTAAGAGGCCTCATATCATGTCCTCATAGTTCACGTCTCGTAACTACAGCCCTTACTGTAGCCTGATACACGCAACCCTTCAGACCCTGTGATATGCCTCTTTACTCCACAATGACACAGTTTAGCAGACGTCATTCAGGCCCTTGAAACACATGCACAGACTTCGCCAAACAGTTCCGTCAGAGCAACTAGCGAAGAATTAAAAAAAATTCTCAGCCTCCAGTGCTTCTCCTTGGATGGCAAGAGACATGTCTAGAGGTCTAAACTGGAAACCTATCTTGGTTTCACACTTATTCAAGTATGAAACACAAGGTAGGTGTTCCAGCTCTACACTGACAGCTATTTGGTTCTCACTCGAGCCGTAAAGTCTGAGCTCGTTTGCTAAGATAATCTGTGACATTGGTAATTGACTACTGATCTCTTCGCTGAGCTTCATAATTGATTTGCATACGTTTCGTCACTGTTGGGTTTGCAGTCTAGATGTCTCATGGAATGGTGACAAGACGTTTTCAAATCAGTTACCAAGCTCGGCGAAGAGATCAACAGCCACTTGATCAATTGCCAATTAATGCATCCGAGCTACCAATATCGTTCATCTGTAACACCCTTCCGGTGCCTAGCTGCCATGTCACCTGAAACAAGCACGAGGGCTGGGTTGACCAAGCCTAGACAGGGGAAGTCGAGAGGCAGAGGTCGGGTTCAAACCCCGGACCTTCTGGTCAGTGAATTTGCGCTCTGACCACTGAGCCACCTCGCCTCCCCCCTCCCCTACGAATGTGTTGGAGTTACCAATATTCCAACACATCACCACTAACCTGTAACATATCTTGGAGAGGCACTCGAAGTTGTATTAGTTCTGATAGTAGTGTGACGGATGAGATCAATGTACGAATTTGCAAGGCTCGGGTTGCGTTTGCTAATTTGAGACACTTTAAAGCGCTATATTCTTTGATCTCAAGGGACGTGTGTAATATGGGCTATTTTATGGGCTATAATATGGGCTATTTTGTTGTATGGTGTGAGGTCTGGCTTGTTTGAGCAGTGGAACTGTGACGTCTTCAGGTCTTCGACAACCGTTGTCTGAGAACCATAGCTGGTTTAGCCTGATTCTGATGAATTCCTAACGAGTCAATTAGAAAGCGAGTTTTCGGTTGTGCAATGGGATCTTCCATTGAAGAATGCGTCTAATAGTAGAAGCTGCGCCGGATCATCGTTTGCGGAAGTGAGTGCTGTCATTCGTGCACAATGCAGAGTGGTGGAAGCAGAGTTGGTTGACCCTTGACCCTGTAGGAAGTATGAAGAAGACTACGAAACGTGCTGTGGTTACTGCTCGCCTTCCATGATGGGGACCGCGTGATCCCCACTGCGCCTGTTTCGAGACGATGCAAGATATAGCCGGTTATCGAAGTCACTGGCGTTCTTGTTGAAAGATTGCCTGAATTAGTGTTGGGGGTGTACTGTTTGAGTTCTCTGTCTGAACATTCCTGTTAGGCAGGAATCCACGCGGATCCCACTCTACCGCACGTCTTCAGGTGCTGCTACGGCCGAGAAGCCTGGACCGCCCGAGGTTGGCCCAGAATTCGGCACGCTTACCGGTCCGGCATCAAGGCGAGATCTGATTGGTCAACAATCTGGACCCAATAGCCAATCATGACCCAGTATTGGCCAAATGCCGGTTGCCAATCGCGCATTCAGATCACGTCAGAAATTCAAGAAGTTATAACCGCTT